GTGAAGACGCATGCGCAGAGTCCCTCCCGGGCAGTGTGCGCCCCCCACCCCCCACCCCGGGGGGAGAGGGGCTTGAGCTTTGTTTGCGGCTGGTGGTCCTTCTGCTGGCCCGGGCACCGTGGTCTTCCCCAGTCAAGAAGCACCTCTCACGAGGTGAGTGGGCTTCGCTTCTCCCAGTGGCAGCCATGGCCTACCCATCTTAGGTCCCTGCATGGCTGCAGAGTCGAGCCCGCGCGCTATCCCCAGTAGAACTTTTGTAAGTTTGCTGCAAGATTTCTGTTTTGGGAGGGGATCTGCATCCTCTCCACATTCTCAGATGACCACAGGAAAGAGTAGGAACTTCCTTTTTGGACTTGGAGTCTTAATACTCTTCAGACGACCCTTACTCTCACAGGTGCTTTTCCCATAGGGCAGGTGAGGGCTAAGGAGAGGATGGAGTGCTTCCCCAGCTCAGGCAGGGCAGGCAGTAGTGCACTTTCTACACCCTTCTAAGGTAAGAAGAAAGGGCAGGACAGTAGGTGTCCAAAGGACGGCACCCTTAACCCTGCGACTTGAATGTGTGAAAGCGCTTTGTTACTGCTCTCCCAGTGGAAGGGTTAAGGCTGGCTTGTGTTTGAGAGCCTGGGCCTGGCTCACACCAGGGTGGTATAGTGTATCAAGAAAGGGACCCAGGAACTACTTTCCTTTGACAGATCTAATGCAGACACTGCCCCCCATCACAGTGTGTTAGGACAAACTCAGAAGCAAGGCCCAGCAGTCATTCCAGTTTGGATTCCTGTTTATGTACGTAGATAAGTCATATGTAAGTATGCATAGAAACAGGAATTCAAAAGATACTTTTCTCTTTAGTCCATTCTCTTAAAAAAAAAAAAGCGGGGACTGTTGAGCAGATTCTTTTGGGTTGTCAGCATTGCCTAGGCTCAAGAGAATCCAGGAAGACTGAGACTTCAACAAATGATGCTCTTACACCTTGTGGAAAACACACCTGAGTCTCCATTTGTGTTTCCGATGGCATCTATTGAGTTCTGCTCAGGGTCAGCGCTGGGCTCCTATGGCTCCATTCTGTTCCCACAGGCCTAGGCTGGCACCCTGCTTCTTGTTCTTCTGCCCAGTGTCCCTGGCCTTTCTGTTAGGCAGTTCTGGGGACCTGTCTGCTGCCACGATCACGCAGTCCCTGCCTCACTTCCCTGCTCTGCTGCTTGGAGGGGCTGTGAGAACACGACTCAGACCTGGCGGGACCTGCTGTCTGCCTCACCTCCGGGCGCAGAGGACGGCTTGGGAAAGATGGGTTCCGAGTTCAGAGTGCTCAGGTGCAGAGTTGCCTTCCATGAAGGATGGGTAGTTTTACAAACATTCTTACGATTTCAGTCCTGGAAAATGCCCTGTGAGGGCCAGGGGCTTATGTGTAGTTTGTCACATGAGCATTTTGTTCCTCGAGGGTCGTTTCAGGCCTGGTCATCATGAGCCATGTAGACAGTGAGTCCTGTGGAACAGATGAGTGGCGAAGGTGTCCACGTCTTCATGCTTTTTCCAGTTTCGAGTTGCTAAGGTTTTGTGGACCTTGAGACAAATCTGTCTGGTCTGGAAGGTCTGAATAAATACCTGAAAGCTGAACTTGAAGTGTTAGTTGATATTCATTGTTGGTGGCCTTCCTCCCTTCAAGAACGCCTGCCTTCTAGGTGGATGGGTGTGATTAAAAGGTAGATTCAGCCTTGCCAACGGGCCTCCTGCACGTGCTTTGGATCAGAAATCCCATTTTGTTGATTGAAGAGGCTCTGTGCTTGACCAGTCGTCAGGAAGTAGCTCATCCTGGGGGGACACCAGCAGTGTCCACCAAGTTTATCTTAGCTGCCAGGTGTGGCCCGTCAGAGTGGCCTGGGTATAACCCAGGGGCACAGCCTTTCTGACCCTTCCTTCCTTCTCTCCTTCCTGTGTTCACGAGGCTCCCACCTGCTAAGCACGTGCTGTACTGAGCCCCCCTCCCAGCCCTCCTGACTTGGCATCTGCCTGCTCCTCTGGTCTCTTGGGTAGCGCCAGCAAGCACCCGGGTCTTTATCCCACATGGTAGGCTCTTTTGAGTCCAGAACCAGGACTGACCTTGACTGTGATTTAAGGCTGTTTTGATTAACGTTTCTTATTTAAAATGTTGTTTTTTTTTTTCATACAAGGTGGAGGGAAGAATTCACTTATAGAGAGAAGGTGAGGGGCTTGTAACAAGTAATAGTGTAGCCCATAGGGAAGGCAGTCCCTGTACCTGGGCTGTGAGGGCCTCGGCCTGGGAGCCGGGCTGGCAGTTCGCGCCCTCCTCGGGAAGCTGCCACTGTCACCGGGGTAGACTTGGTTTCTCACAAACATCTTTTACCAGAAAGGCTGGGGTTTTGGTAAGTGCTAAGCTGGCCTTGACTAAGTGTCCAGGTCACTTGGGAAGTCCCCTTCTGCCCCGAGCAATGGCAGTAGGTTCTGGCCACCTGCTCACAGCTTAAGCCCTCTGGTCTGACAGAGCAGCGTGTCCTGGGGTGGCCACAGCACTGAAGTCTGGCCCTGGTGACTGCGTCTCAGTGTTGGGTGGTTTGACCTCTGCCTGCCTGCAGTGGGGGGCATCCTGGCACCCTCCTCCCGGCCGTCTCTAGGGCCTCAGCCCCTCCTGGGTCCTGCCCGCTGTCTTGAAGAGTAGTAGAGAATGAATCAGAGACTTAGGCAGAGAACCCAGGGCCTCTCCTACGGCACCTTGACAGAACCAGACAGAACCGCGGACTGCAGGCCTGAAGCACCTCCAGCCGCCAGCTGCACCTGTCTTTAGACAAAGGGGGGGGGGGTTCCAGGGGAGACTAGGCTTCCACTCGGGTAACCTGAGACTGGCGACTGGCGGGTGACCAGCCTGTGCCTCTGCCACAGGGCGATTTCTGAATAATTGAGAGGACAGGCTGCTCCATTCTGGGCGCAGCCCCCTGCTGTGCTGGCTGGGGATGGTCTACAGATGGCGCTTTCCTCCTGTCACAATTGTGACTGAGCACGTGGGGCCCATCCTGTGGGGATGGGTACCTGTGACACCAGGTTCCTTAAGAAATAGAATTCAGCCTGTAATCCCAGCGGCTCGGGAGGCTGAGGCAGGAGGATCAAAGCCAGCCTCAGCAACAGTGGGGCTAAGCAACTCGGTGAGACCCTGTCTCTACATAAATACAAAAAGTAGGGCTGGGATGTGGCTCAGTGGCCAAGTGCCCCTGAGTCACTCCCCAGTCCCCCGACACCCTCCCCCCAAAAAAGGAGTGAACTCCTCGGAGACGTAACCTTTGAAGATGTGTGGGGTGCGCTGCCGGGACCTCCATCCTGGAGGTCTCTGAGTGGAGCGGGACGACTGGGCTCTGGAGCTGCCTGTTCTGCCCCAGGCCTTCCCGTGTCAGTTGTGAAAACCGAGGGCTCTCCTCCTGGTGTGCGGGACAGCTGGTGTGCAGAGTTGGGCTGCGTGGACCGAGCACGCTGTGCAGGGCTGAGTCTTTGACTACAGTCCTTCTGCTGTGCTGGGGTGGAACCCGGGGCGTGTGCAGCGTGCTGGGCAAGTGCTCTGCCACTGAGCGAACCCGGCCTCACCCTGAGTCCCCTTCCTCAGCCCTTTTAATTTTTTTGAGACAAGAGTCTCACTAAGTTGCTGAGGCTGGCTTTGAACTTGCGATCCTCCTGTCTCAGCCTCCTGAGTTGGTGGGATTATAGGTGTGTGCCACCATCAATCCCCTCCATTCAATCCCCTCCAATTTTATTCAGTAAAAGGTACCATAACCCCACTTTTTTTTGGTACCAGGGGTTAAACTCAGGGCCTTTACCACTGAGCCACATCCCCAGCCCTTTTTATTTTTCATTTTGAGACAGGGTCTCACTAAATGGCTTAGAGCCTTGTTAAGTTGCTGAGGCTGGCTTTGAACTTGGCGGTCCTCGTGCCTCAGCCTCCTGAGTTGATGGGATCATAGGTGTGCGCCATCATGTCCAACTCGAATCACTTTTAAGGGTGCATTTTGACATTTCAGAGACAAAAGTGCTGGGGGTGTTACGAGTGTGGCCCAGAATTGGGCCGTGGCCTTTGGGCACCTTTTCTCTTTGGTGGTGCTGGGGTTCAACCCAGGACCTTGCCACCTTTCTTTGCTGAAGCTGGTGGAGGTGAGAATTGAGGTGATACCAGGAGGTGACTGTCTCTCCAAGACCCCCTGAGCAGGGCCCTGCCTCATGCAGCAGAGAGGGAGCCTTTAAAGCCACCTGTGTCAGACCCTGCTGCCACTACTAACGCTGCGTCCTCCCTTGCCTTACTCTCCTGGAGAAGTTGAAGGCTTATCCCCAACGTCCCCAGCTCATCCCCAATGTCCCCAGCTCAACGTCCCCATGAAAAAGCTCCTGGCATGGAGGACAGCGGACGGGGATGGCGGTGTGATGAACATGTGGAAGTGGCGTGGGAACAGTGCCTCAGGCCCTGAGGACCACAGTGCTTCTGTGGGAAAGTGCAGACGTGGTCCCCAGAATGTGCCAGTTGTGATTCCCTTGTGTGACCTGGTGGCCCTTCCGGTGCAAATCTCTCTCTGTACACCATTTTGCAGAGTGGAGGTGGGGAACACCATCTGGCTGAGTGTTTTGCAAAAGCTATTTAAAAACAAGGCCAGGCAGAGCCAGCGAGTGGCCATGGGGGGTCTGGGGTGACGCACCTTGGAGCGTGGGGGTGCGGGGTGACAGGTAGGGCTGGGACCTAGAGCCCCTGTGTGAAAGGGCCAACACAGAAATGCTGCTTTGTTTCCAGCTGTGGCTGGGCAGCCTCGGGGGGCTAGAAGCATCTGTAACCAGCTAATTTTTTCCTTCTTTCTGTCTCTAGAAACTTGAAGGGTCTAAGTGCAAAGGGCAGCTTCTGATTTTTGGGGCAACCAACTGGGACTTGATTGGTCGAAAAGAAGTGCCTAAACAACAAGGTAGGAGAAGCGGTGCCTCAGATGGCTTGTGCCTCCTGGGTGTAGTAGATGTCCAGCGGTCCACTGCGGGGCAGTTCTAGGGACTGTGAAAAGGCTGGATGGGGCCAGGACATCCAGGTGTTGGTTGAGTGTCAGGTGCTGAGACGTCAGATGCTCAGTCCACAGCGCTCTGCCAGCTGCCAGCCTGTTGGGAGAACTGGGTTGACAGAAACAACAGTCGCTGGAGAGGGGAACAGAGAAGTCCCAAGAAGTAAATATTTGGTCCCCAGTTGACTTTAGAAAATTGGCGTCCAGCCGGGCCCGGTGATGCACACCAGTGATCCCAGGGACTTGGGAGGCGGAGGCAAGAGGATCACAAGTTTGAGGCCAGCTTGGGCTATTTAGCCAGATTCTGTTGGGGACGTGGCCCTGTGGTACAGTGCTCCTGGTTCCATGTGCAGTGCCAAAAAAGGGAGAAAAGACGGTGTCTTTCTGCAGAAGAAATAGCCCCAGGAGCAGGCTGGCAGGGAGCCGTGCTTTATGGCTCTTGGTGTCATTTGGAAAGGTGCCCACGGTGCTTCCCCACATCGCTTTGCCCATAAACAAATATTTGCACATTGACACACCCTAGTGCCAAAACACTGGGTGTCCCATGAGGGTGGCAGGAATCCCAGCAGCGCTCGCAGGTAGCAGCGCACCTCTCAGGGCAATGCCTGGCTCTCAGCACCACAGCCCGGTCCCCAGAAACCCCAGGTCTGTGACACCAGCCCGCTGCTGGCAGCTCCTTTGCTGGTCTTGCTTTTTGCTGAGTGGCCCCTGTTAGGACCTTAGAGGACAGAGACGAGTCTGACCCTGACCCTGACCCAGCAGTGTCCTTTGAAGTGCTCTCAGGGGCTCGGGACAACACGTCCCATCCTTAATGGGGTGGTGGGATCTGGAGGGCGACGCTGTCCCCACCCCATCTCCTGCTAGTGACGTACCTGGCACCGAGAGGCCTCGGGCTGCTCCCGCAGCAGGAGTGGAGGGCTGGCTGCGCTGCGTGCTGGGGTGCAGCTTGGGCGGTTCCTGTGCCAGTGGTGGGGTGGGGGCTCCCAGAGACCGGGAAGGACAGGTCGGGGTGGGGAAGGGCGTTGTGGGGGAGTTAGGTGCTGAGGTGCCTGAGACATGATGAAGCGCCTGGTGGCGGCGTGGGGACATGTGGGGCCACAGCTCTGAAGGGGAGAGCGTGAGGACCAGGCTGCCTCGGCCGGGAGGCGGCCCCTGGTGCTCCTGGCAGGCAGGCTGCAGAAGGCCAGACCGGCCCTGGGAGGGCAGGATCCAGCTCCCGGGCACCAGCGCAAGGTGGACGCAGTCACAGCGGCCTGTGGTCTGCGTCTGCAGGTGTCCGGGTCAGTGGGGGCAGGTGGGGTGACAGGAGGGCCACACCGGCTCCCGGGCAGTTTGGTTCTGGGGCCCTTGGCTACTACAGAGACTCCAGGTGCCCGTGTTGTCCTCACGTGGCCTCCTTTGTCAGGCCAGTGCAGCGCCCTTGGAGTGCCTGGTGGCTCCTGCTGTGTGCAGGGCTCCCTCCCGGCCGCAGGCCTGTGACCAGCCTTCTCCTTCTCTTTGCAGCTGCTTACCGCAATCTTGGTCAGAATTTGTGGGGACCCCACAGGTATGGGTGCCTGTCAGGGGTACGGGTGCGAACGGTGGTTTCGGGGTCGTGTGCTGCCCACAGCCTCCTCATCACCACGGAAGGGAAGCTGTGGAGTTGGGGTGAGTACCGTGCGTGGCGGGTGCGGGCCACTTGCTCCCGGTCACGTGCCTGTCCCTTCCCGAGGCCTGCTCCTCTGCAGCCACCCTTCCTCTTCCTGATTCCCGGCCAGCCTCCCGAACCCCACGGCCCTCGCCCCAGTCGCCGTCTGGTGGCCCCGTTCCTAGAGCCCTGTGTCGGGCGTGCTGACCCTCAGCCCGCCGTGTGGCACAGGGCCTGTGTCCTCACGCTTGGAGTGCCACTGGTGCTTGTCACAAGACACTGCGTCTGGCTCTGGCTTGCGCACATCTTGGGCTGGGGCTCGTCGCCTGTTCTGAGGATGTCCTGATGGTCGTCCCTGTGTTGGTGCCCTGGGCCCTCGGGCTGCCCTGTCACCCTCCTCCCACTGCCTGTCCCCCTGGGCTGCCTCTCCTTCCTCCAGGCCCTTAGTGAAGTGGTCCCCAAGGCTACTTCGGCCCCCGAGCCCTTCCAGCTCCTGGGCTCTGCTGCCAGCTGGCTGTGTTGGTGTCCCCACCCTTCGCTCTGGCCCCGTGGCCACTCGTAGTCCGTGTAATGCGTTTTTATTTTACTTTGGTGTTTGAACTGGTGTTTTTTTTTTTTTTTTTTTCATGAGCTGCTGAACCAAAGTCCAAATATATTAACATCTGTCGTCTCCCTGCTCTGGGCTAATTTTGTAATTCTGTTGGAAAAAAAAACTAACAAGTGTCTGGCCCAGATTTATCCTTCACAGGCTCTTGATGACATGCCGACATTTGCCCCGATTTTGGTTTCTCCCTGGCATGGGGCGTGTCCCCTGCCTCGTTGTCCGTCCTGCTTCATGCCCTGACACGGGGCTGGGGCTTTCATGTTTGTTCCCGACTTAAAATAGCCCCTCCTGCTCTCCTTGCTGCGCGACACTTAGGCTGTGGTTCCAGAAGCGTCTCTGTGCTGACCCTGTGGGCAGGAGCACCACGTCAGCATCACGTCTGATGAGTCCCAGCTCAAGGGCGAGTGGCCTGGGTCGGGCAGCAGTGCCAGGGGACGTGCTGGCGATGCCCCGTATCTACTCACTGGTGGTCACTTGAATTGGAGGGCTGCAGTACAGTGGCCATAAGCACTGGCCCCCAGGGGAGGGGTCATCCCGCCACCCTTGGGCCTTGTGTGTGCGCGCGGCAGAGCCCATTGTGTGGCTGCTGTGCCGCTCCCGCCAGGGCACTGGTCCTCAAGCGGCCTCTCTTCTGCTGGGGCGTGTGGGGAGGGTCTCCTTCCTGAATCCACCCCTCCTGCCCCTCGTAGTCCTCGACTTTTCAGCTCTTCTAAGCCTCCCGTCTCCCCAGGGCGAGGCGAGGCGAGGCGAGGTGAGGCGTGTGGTTCTTTGGCCACTGGGCAGGGCCGACTTGTGTCTAGCTCTCCCTGAGGCCCACCTGTGTCCATCTTGGGGTGCAAGTGGTTTTCCCAGAGGCCTGTGCACTGCCGTGGTCCCCTCAGGCCTGTGTGAGTGCAGGGGCCGTCCCGTGGCCAAGGCCGCGGGAGCAGTGTGGGTGGCTTCGGTGGCAGGAGGGCATGTGTGTGCAGCAGGCCTTTCCCTTGGCACCAGGGCTGATCCACGGACGTGGGGTCCTGTGAGGGGTGGTCTGGGGGGCAGCTGGGGAAAGTGGAGGAACGATGGGCCCAAACCAGATGATCCAAGGTCGATCCCCAGACGCTGGGGCGGTGCCCCTTGGAGCCGGTGTCAGCGTGGTCACTGTTGAACCTGCCCTAAAGAGAATGACAGGGCGTCAGTGCCTCCAGACCAGGGCTCGTGTGGCCAGAGTGTGCCTGTGGGTGGCCCCGGGCTGCATGGAGCCCTTCTCGCATTTTCTGGGGTACCAGAGAATTGACGGTGTGCACTGAGTGGGTCCTTGTCACCGAGGCAGAAAGGGGGACCTGAGGGCTGGGGACGGTGCAGCAGGTACCTGCAGCTGGCCACCACTAGAGGACGGCTTCAGGGGTGGCACCAGGGTCTCACAAGCTGCCGCTTTCTCTCCTGGCTGTTGGCTGTGGGTCGGAGGCTCCCTCTGGGTGCATGGTGGGTCCCGGGGTACTGTGGGGCACCTCTGCAGTGCTGCCTGCCACCCCGCTCCCCCCCAACCAGCTGTGATCTGCAGGTCGAAATGAGAAGGGGCAGCTGGGCCATGGCGACACCAAGAGAGTTGAGGCCCCCAGACTCATCGAGTCCCTCAGCCACGAGGCCATTGTATTGGCTGCGTGTGGGCGCAACCACACCCTGGCCTTGACGGGTAAGTGGCCCAGGGCGTCACCTTGGGGTTGGGTGGAGTTGCTGCCATGACTTGGCCTCTGGGTGCTGGGTGGCTTTTGGGGCAGGGAGCCCATCTGAGACTGGGACAGGTGGCATGGCCTTTCTAAACTGCACCCCCAGCTTTTGATGCCAAGTGGGGTTCGAGCTGGCCTCCTGCCCCAAGCTCTTTTGGACACTGTTTCACATTCCGCCTGGAAATGAGCTGTTTGTATTATTTTGATGCCTTTGGTTCCAAATCTAGTTTAAAACATTCAGCGTTACTTTCCCTTTTGTGATGTTTTTCTCTCTTTGCAGAAACGGGCTCCGTGTTTGCTTTTGGAGAGAACAAAATGGGGCAGCTGGGGCTAGGCAACCAGACGGACGCTGTCCCCAGCCCCGCGCAGGTATGTGGGGCGGCTTCACAGGCGGGAGTGTTTTAAACGGGTTCAGCCTGTGGTCAGGTCAAGGCGCGTCTTGAAAGCCCTTTTCCTTGCAAAGAAAACGAGTGTCAAGACCTTGCGTTGAGTCTGTTCTGTGCTAAAGAAAGCGAGATGTCCTATGGATGGAAGTTTGTCTTCATCTGCAAATGCTTTTGTTTTGACCTTGAGTGCAGTCACCTGCCAGCTGCTCAGAACGCAGTTTCTCTTTGCTAAGACACCGAAGATCAAGTTTGAGGGGTGGGATTCCTACCTGAGAAATGAAGCAGGATGCTGGCCACCAGTCCGCCCTCAGTGGTGGAGGTGGGACCCGGCTTTCCTGATCTTGGACAGGAGCCAGCTCGCTGCAGCCTGGGGGTTTGAAGTGCTCCTGTCTTGCTCGCCACAGCTCTGAAGCACAGTTGCACGGTGGCAGAGTGGCAGAGTGGGTCAGGGCTGTCGTGACAAGGTCTGAGGTCTGGTTCCCTCTCGGCCTCTGTCTCCTGTGCCGGGTGGCAGGTCTGCGTCTTCCTGCCCTCTGTTCCCTTCCTGTCCCGGCCCTTCCAGCCTGACTGGCAGCAGCAGCAAGTGTTTCGATGTCCTCATTGGTTTTCAAATCCCAGGTTAAGTGACAGCCATCACTACCGTTTTCTGAACCATCTTAACCTCTATTTATGCCTCTAGTTGAAGACTCAGTAATCAGTGGCTTGAGGAGCAAATGAGAATTTTTTAAGTGGTTCTTTTTAAAAGAGTTTGTTTGTTATTTTTAAAGTTGGAGCTGATCCTGGAGTTGGTGACTCCAGTGAGGCTTAGAGGTGACAGGGCAAGGTGTGCTCTCTGACCTTGTTCTCCTGCTTGTGGATTTTGGGATTCGTCAAGCAGTAGGATGTGTGAGGCACGCTGCTGGGCGCTTTCAGGGTGCAGATTCCCAGAATATGAGTCCTGCTTCTGTGGCTACTCTCTGGGGGTGGGGTGGGGGCGTTTCTTTCCCAGATTCCAGTCTTTGCGTTTTCCCTGTGCTCTGGGCTTTGGCCTTCAGAATGGGGGAGTCATTAACTCTCCTTGAAGCCTGGTAATCTTGTGTCACAGCCTCATGCAGAGAGGGAGAGACTTTTTATCAGTCTTTTGAAAAATGCCTGAAAGTCCACTGTCTTTTCTTTTCAGATAATGTACAACGGCCAGCCAATTACCAAAATGGCCTGCGGGGCTGAATTCAGCATGATAATGGACTGCAAAGGAAACCTCTATTCCTTTGGGTGCCCTGAGTACGGCCAGCTGGGTATGGAAGTGTGTTTTTAAAAGCTCTGTAATCTAACTGTATATTTAGAACCAGAAGCCAGTGGGGGCCGCACACATGTGTTAGGAACTTGGTGATTGATCTCAGATAATAGCTTCTCCCACTAAGTGGGCCTGGCGGAGCGGGGAGCCGCCGCTCGCAGGGTTCCAGCGGGTTAGCGGTTTGCCTCCGTGAAGTCGGGGTGCAGCCTGAAGAAAGATGCTGTTTTCTGATTTGAAGATCCATTTATGCAAGAATCTCAAAGTTGTAGAAAAAGGAAAAGAGATAGATACTTTTCTCTGGTTTTTCACACGAGGGGCTCCTGCAGCGTGAGACGGGCCATGTTCCAGTTGTGTGCCACGGAGCAGGGAGCTTCCCGCTCCACCCTTGGCAGGATGTGCTTGTTCAAAAGCTGGTCACTCCTGCAGGTCTCAGGAGGTGTGGGAACCCTCCCTTCCAATGTCGCCAGCTCTCCATTCTCTCTTCCCTGGAGGGTGCTTTCCCGGGTGCCTCCTGGCCTGTGGCTCCAGCCCCCTCCCAGGAGCTGGAGCAGGCGGTGAGGCGCGGGCGCCCCCTGCTGGCCCCTGGGCTGCCTGCACCTGGTGCAGCACCCTCCGAAGCAGAGAGCAGGTGGAGAGGCGTGAAATAGAAGGCAGAGCGCTGTGTTGGCCTTAGACTTCAGGGGACGGTGACTCTGAAACTAAATATAGCTCCAGTCAGAAGTGCGTGAGAAGGAACAGCCCCCCCCCCCCGTGCCCAGCCGTGCAGGTTGCGGCTCTGTTGGGGGAGCGTTGCCATGGCCACCGCCTCGTGCTGCACCCAGCCCCGGGCTCCACGCGGAAGTGCGCATCTGTGCTTCCTGCTACGTGGGCCGCTCCCCTGCTGCCTTGGTTTCTCGGGGTGGCGAAGGCAGAGCAGTTGCTGTGTACGGGCCCCACTGAGGACGGAGCTGCTTGGTTTGCACCCAGAGCATCTTGTCTTCTCAGCCGAGCAGCTTGCTTCTCAGCATCCACCATCTCGCCCAACCCAGACGGGTCCCTTTGGAGAGTCACGTGGCAGCCTCAGGTCTGTCACCAGCAGGCGCTCCCTGGGTCGAGCTATAGGCGCTGCATTTCCCCACCGCAGGCCATCGCCTTTCTGGAAGTCCGCATGGCCTGGAGGGGTTGCTGGCCTGTCCCTGGGAAAGGCAGGGTGTGCTGCTCCTTCAAAGGAGGTGGGGGGAACAGCAATTCGAAGGTGCCTCCCCACCCTCTGGGACCGCCTGGCTCAGCACCAGCGCTGTGAGGCAGGTGGCGTGGCCCTGGCTCCTGCAGGGTGCAGGCAGGGTGGGAGCTGCTGCGCAGTGTCCACACAGGGCCCAGGGGCGCTTTGCCACTGGATGTTGCCACTGAGCAAGCAACATCCCTAGCTTTTTTTTTTTTTTTCCTTCTTTTTTAATATTTTAAAGTTCTTGGTTTGGGTTGTAGATGGACACTTTTATTTTTGATGTGGTGCTGAGGATCAAACCCAGAGCCTCACACGTGCTAGGCAAGCACTGAGCCACAACCCCATCCCCCTGGCATATTTCATGTTATTTTGAGACAGGGTCTTGCTGATTTGCCTGGGCTGGCCTTGAACTTAGGATCCTCGTGCCTCAGCCTCCTGGCACTGGATGACAGGTGTGCGCCACTGCGCCTGGCACTAGTGTTTAGGATGCCGTTCCTTTTGGTGAGAGGCAGTGGCCATGGCCATGCTCCTCCAACATCGGGACCCGGACACCCCCTACCCCCTTCCCCCGTCCCGCAGGAAGTGTCTGAGCAGTTGTCTAAGAGCTGCATGTCCTGAAGTGTCCACCCTGCACCATAATGGCTTCACATCTGTCCGAGCCACAAAATGGGCAGATTTCTAAGTGGACAGGCACGTTGCAGGGGCAAGAGATGGGCAGTGTCAGGGACCCGCTCCTGTCGCACTCCCTGCTTACCAGAAGCTGGTCTTAGAACAGTGCAGTCACCCACCTGGACACTGTGGTGCTCATTTTGACTGTGTGTCAAGGTGTTTCAGACAGCGGCGAAGGCTGCATGTGCAACAACAGCATGTCACACGGCCATCACCGTGGGCTGACACGAGAGCGCTGTAGCCGACAGGCCGACAGCCGAGTGTGGGCTCAGGGTCAGTTTAAGAGCCTGGGGCTCCGGGCGCTGGCCTCTTCCCCTCAGGACTGCGTGGCAGCCAGGCTCCTGCTAGTGGCGAGTCCTCTCTGAGTGTAGAAGCACGTGACAGGTGTCGCAGCAGTGCTGCTGTCAGTTCGTCCCTGCGGTCACTCGCTCTGATCTGGTCCCCACCCACCCGCTCAGTTTTGTGGGCCCCAGGGGGGCTGTGGCTCCCTCTGGAGGACCTGCTGGGCCGGGGCTGGGGACATGGGGACCTGTGGTAGTGAATGAGCTCAGCTCCGGTCCCCTGCCTCCTGTGCTGCTCCTGACAACAGGCTCTGGTCACCACAGGACACAACTCGGACGGGAAGTTCATTGCCCGGGCTCAGCGGATAGAGTACGACTGTGAGCTGGTGCCCCGGAGGGTGGCCATCTTCATCGAGAAGACGAAAGACGGGCAGATCTTGCCTGTCCCAAACGTGGTGGTGCGTGATGTGGCCTGTGGCGCCAACCACACGGTGAGTGGCGCTGGTTTTCCTGTTTTCTGAGCTTCGCACTGGCGCAGAGGGTTATCCATGCACTGGCCAGGACCGGGTCCAAGTGGACGCCCTGCCTTCCCTGAGGGGCCTGGCCAAGCTCCTGTCCCTGCCTCCATTAGCCTCTGCAGGCTGCCAGCTGAAGGGGCTCGACACGGGTGGACAGGGACACCGCCCTCCCGCAGGACGTGTTTCTGAGCTGCAGGTGGAGAGCCTCATCAGGGGCCTCATCAGGGGCAGCTGTTTCCTTGGAGGTTCGCTCACAGACAGACGCAGGGTGGCGCTCTGCATCGATTTCCTGTTTGTGGCACTAGGGGTGGTGGTATCTTGAGGGCCCCACCACTGAGCCACCTCTCTGCGCCCCCCCCCTTTTTTTTTTTTTTTTAAGGATTTAGGACTGTTTTTTTTTCAATATCTGTATTTTGTTTCTTTATGTGGTGTTGAGGATTGAACCCAGGGCCTCCCATGTGCAAGGCAAATCCCCTGCCACTGAGCCACAGCCACATCCCCAGTCCCTCCAGCCCTTTTCATTTAATTTTTAGTTTTTTATTTTGGTTACTGGGAATTGAACCCAGAGGTGGTATACCATTGGGCAACATTTACAGCAAACACCGCCCCCCCCCCTTTTTATTGAAACAGGGTCTTAGTAACTTGCTTAGGGCTTCACTAAATTGCTGAGGCTAGCCTGGAACTTGTGATCCTCCTGCCTCAGCCTCCTGAGTTGCTGGGGCTGCAGGTGTGCCCTGGCCTGTGCATGTGTGTTAGTGTCTGGAGGCCACTTCCTTCCCTCGGGGTGCTCTTCCCCATGGTCGGACATGGATTAGGTTAGGATCTGGCAAGGAGGCGGTTTAGTTCTTGCAAATCCAGAAACTGAGGTTCTATTTTATATAGTGTAGTCTGGGAAACAAGGTTAGATTTTGTTAAAGAGTTTTTTGTTGTTGTTACTGAGGATTGGAACCCAGGGGTGCTTAACCACTAAGCCACATCCTCAGGGCTCCCCCTCCTCCCATTTTTTAGAGACAGGGCCTAGCTGAGTGCTGCCTAGGGCCTTGCTAAGTTGCTGAGGCTGGCTTTGAACTCATGATCCTCTTGCTTCAGCCTCCCAAGCTGCTGGAAATATAGGCATGCGCCACCACACCCGTCTGTTAAACTTGACCTAAAAGGCTCTTATCTGTTGTTTTACTTAGAGTTTTTCGGGCTGGGCAGTGGACCAGGCCTTGGCACCCTGGGCAGGCGCCGCTCCCAGAGCACGCCCCAGCCCTGTGCTGCTGAGCAGGAAAGGGGAGATCCCATACAGTGGTGATTGCTCCCGTCACCAGGGCCCAGGTGCGGGGAGCGCAAGGACGGTCCAGGACAGGCAGCCTTCCCTCCTGCTCTTCCTGCAGCATAGCTGTTATTTTAAAAGGAAATGGGATGTGCTGGCCTGCGGTCTGCAGACGGAGCCTTCTTGCTTCTGATGAGGGGAGATCTGCAATAAAAATAGGGTCCCTGGCAGAGCAGGCAGGCCTGAGCCCGCGTGCCGCCCCTGGCCTGCTCCAGGCGCCACCTCCCTGTGGCTGCAGGCAGGTGTGGACGGTCCCTCTGCCCTTCGCTGTAACTGCTGCTGCAGGCTCTCCTACAGACATGGTGACCCCGTCACCTCCTGGGAAGGCCTGGTGGCTCAGCCCGTGTCCCTGTCCTTGCAGCTGGTTTTGGACTCCCAGAAGCGTGTCTTCTCCTGGGGCTTCGGTGGCTATGGCCGGCTGGGCCACGCGGAGCAGAAGGACGAGATGGTGCCGCGCCTGGTGAAGCTCTTCGACTTCCCGGGGCGAGGGGCCTCCCAGATCTACGCTGGCTACACCTGCTCCTTTGCCGTCAGCGAAGTGGGTTAGTGGTGTCCTCGCGCTTGTCCCTAGGGTGGCGGTGTCCAGAGCCGGGGTTTGGTTTTCCCCTCCTTATAGATCACTGCTCCTACGGGCACCATGTAGCCACTGTCCTGTGCCGAGACCCGCACTTCACTCTGTCCCCGGTGTGGCCTGGCGGGCTGCGTCGGCTCCTGAGACACTTGCTCACGGTGACATCTCTTGTCTGCCTCCAGGTGGCCTGTTTTTCTGGGGGGCCACCAACACCTCCCGTGAGTCCACCATGTACCCGAAAGCAGTGCAGGATCTCTGCGGCTGGAGGATCCGAAGCCTGGCGTGTGGGTAGGTGGCAGTGGCTCCCGCACGTGTCCCATGTTCTTCCCTCCCCAGGGTAGCTGACACAGCCTGGGGGTGCCTGCTGACCGTCGGTCGGTCACCCTGTCCAGGCATGAGGTACAGCCGAGGTGATGAGTGAGGGCTTGGGGTGCCAGGACAGATGTCCCCTTCGTTGTCTTCACGGGAAGAAAAGTCACTTTAAAGGTTTTTGTTCTCAGAAGCAGCACAGGAGAGGTGGTTGCGCTCTCGGTGGGAAAGGGCAGTTCAGTTCTCAACGCCCGGGAAGGGGAACCAGACCCGGCTGTCCTCTTCCTGGCTGGACTGTTAGTGGGCGGGTGGTGTGTGGATAGGGGCCGTGTGGACTGGTCTGGCGTACAGACCCCCCCAGGGGTTCCCGTGGGTGGAGGTCTGTCCCTTGGGAGTGGGCCACCACCTCATCCCTCTGCCTCAGCCTCCTCTGCCCAGGGTGTGCTTCCCACCTTCCTCTGAGCCCCCACACCCAGTCAGAGTGGGCCACAAGGCCCCCCGACTTTGGCTTTGGCCCTGTGAGGGGCTCTGGGCCTTGCTGAGGCACAGTGTCCTGTGCAGGGTCATCTCTGGGCTCAGGAGGAGCCCTCTGCTCCCTGGCGTGCAGCGCGGGGTGGGCATGCCGCGGGGGCACTGGGCGAGGCCCCGACGTTGATGCTGGCCCCTGGCCGGTTGGGATGCGGCGGAGGGTGGGTGGTGACGGCCTCTGCCTTTTTGCAGGAAGAGCAGCATCATCGTGGCGGCGGACGAGAGCACCATCAGCTGGGGCCCATCGCCGACCTTCGGGGAGCTGGTGAGTCGGTGGCCCCCAGGCCGGGCGAGCACCTCCTGCACGGGGGCGGAGAACGTGGGTGCGGTGGTCTGCCGAGACCTCTGGGTCTCGTTAAGCTTCAGAGACGGTTCTATGCCGATGAGGCTGTGAGTGGCTGTGGTCCCCGCGTGGCGTGGAGGCAGAGGGTCAGGGCACCTCCCTGTGGCGGAAGGTTCACGTCCACAGGAGGACGGGCCTCTGGGTCTGGTCTAGCTTGGCCGTGTGCATGGTCCAGAGGGCAGTGTGCCCTCAGCCTGCCGTGGAGGTGATTTAGGGACACTTTCTTCTTGTGTTCCTGCTTATAAGCTCAGTGGCTGGAATGAGGTCAGAACAAGTGGCCCTCGGTTTCCCCTGCCCTGGCCTTTCCCCGTCCCCTGGCCTTGCTCTGAGGCCCTGCTGCTTGGTGAACTCTCTGCTGCACGTTCTTGGTTGCGGCTCATGCTGTGGGCGGTGGCCTGAGGCTGGGCTGCTACAGGCGGGTCTTGCTGCGCTCACTGGGCCTTGGCGGTTCGTCTTGGTTCATCTCCCCATTTCCTGCTGGCGTGGGGTGGAGACGGTCAGGAGGGCCGGCCCTTGCACAGCCTCTGGGATGGCTGGCCTTGCTGCTCCTGCGCTTCGGGTGTCCACGTGGGGCAGGCGGAACACAGGGAGCAAGCCACCAAGAGCTGCCTGCTTTCTTGTGACTGGTCTGAGGCGGCGGGAGGGTTTCTTGAGGCCCCTCAGGAATAGACGTTTCCCTCTAAACACGAGTATTACAGTTCGGGAGCAAGGAGGGGGCTTTTGGGGGAAACCTCTAGGGTTGAGAAGGCGCGCGGCTCCCGGAGCCGTACATGTGGGGAGGTGTGAGCCACGGCCTGGGGGCCCACCTGGCTGGGGGCTGGAGGTCCTGCCTCACCCTGCAGCCCTGTCCCAGCTGCGCCCAGGGCTCTGCCTGTGGCCAGCTCCAGCACGGCCCTCCACGGGCTCTTCCACGCCTGGCCGGGCCCCTGGGGCGCTGGAATCCTCCCTGGCAACGGCGTCTGCCTTTACCCCGTCTGTTCCTGCTGGTCACTCGGCCGTCTGGCGCAGGCCACCAGCTGTGGTCCTGACAGCTGCAGTTCCCAGTTCCCCCTCCCTCGGGTTTCATCTGCTGTTGCCACGGGAGGCTCCTGGAAGGTCCCCCCCTCCCGTGGGCCCAGGTCAGGATCTAGCATCCTGGGCTTCCTCCAGGGCTAGTCGCCGGCCCCGTGGACCTGAGGGGCCCTCCTCGCCCATGCTGAGAGTGGCCGGGTGCTGGCTCCGGGCTGGTGGGGTACAGATGGCCGTGGCGCTCCCCTTCTGGAGTGTGCCGCGTGGGTCCCTGTGGTGAGCATCTCCTACTTGCGTCTCCAGGGCTACGGGGACCATAAGCCCAAGTCTTCCACTGCGGCCCAAGAGGTGAGGACTCTGGACGGCATCTTCTCAGAACAGGTGAGCTCAGGAGGACGGTGCCAGTGAGCCTGCTGTGCCCTGGGTCTGCGGCGTGCTGAGCGACGGCTCGCTGGCCAGGTGTCCTGCCCGCCCTCTGGCACGTCTGACGGCTCGTGGCCGTTGGCAGGAGAGAAGTGCAGAAGAATGCTGGCCAGAAGGCCGGCGGCTGGCCTTTTCCTTGTGATACCCATACACTCAGCCACGTGACTCTGTCCCCAGGATGGGTGTGTGGCTCAGGTGACAGGTGCTGCTAGGCCAGGGTGGTTGGCAGATGGCAGCGCCAGGCCCGGCCTGTGGAGAGACACGGTGGGTGTGTGCCTCGCTCATGGTGGCATCGTGATCCAGGGAGGCGGGTGGAACAGGGAGCTGGGTCTCCGTGTCCCTGCCAGTCCCTGCCAGCAGGGCTCAGCGGGCCTCCTTCCATCTGGGCCCCCCCTGGCAGCCTGGAGGCTCTGGCTGGGAGGGTACAGCGGCCCACCCTGCAAGGACACTGTCTTCAGGGTGGGAGGGGGCTTCCCCATGCTGACCTCCCGGGCAGCCCACAGACCAACGTGCTGCTGTCCCTCGCCCCGTGCGTGTCTGCCCTGGCACAGCCAACCTGGTTTGTCCCTGCAGGTAGCCATGGGCTACTCACACTCCCTGGTGATCGCACGGGACGAGAGCGAGACCGAGAAGGAGAAGCTGAAGCGGCTTCCGGAGTACAACCCGCGCACGCTCTGAGGCGCCGCGACCCGTGGCAGCCGTCACTCCACCTGCACTGGGACGGGAAGTCGGACGAGGAATCAAAAGCAAAGTTGACCGAAGGTGCATTTTGTTAGACTCCCTGAGGTTCCGTTTTCTACGTGATTCAACGTTAACTACCTTTTCCTGTTTGCTTTCCAAAGTGTTTTTTTCTCCCTTCGATGTTTAATTAAAATATTTGCTCATAGTTGACCTACCATTCCTACAAGAGAGGCAGAAACTTGAGCAATCTAGGTTTTTTAAGTTGTATTTCTTGTCCCTCCTAAACACAGCCCAGGCCCCCACTCCAGCTGTCCTTAGCCTTGTGATCCGCGGGGGCGCTGCCTGGGACAGGCAGCGCCACTTATTTACTCAGACAAAAACGTCCCTCCTGGGAACCAGCAGCATCTAGACCAAGCCGTCCCGGAGACGGCCACCTCCCTCCAAACCATGCTCTCGTGCTTCGGATGCATCCGGGTCACTTGCCTGCTTTTTTTGCGCAGACTGGCTCAGGCCAGTGTGTGTGCCCCTCTGCTGCTTGTAGCCACAGCCTCACTGCAGAATCTGCCACCCCCACCCTCCCGGCGGGGGCCTCGGGGTCTGTGTTTAGCCATTTATACCTACTCTAGCTGTTTAAAAAAAAAAAAAAGTCCAAATGCAAATCAGGTGATCGTGGAACCGCGGGGACATGGAGGGCAGAGGGGGACCGGCTGTGTTTGTTGAAGGGTCCAGCCTCATGGCTCCCGGGGGAGCCCAGGCCTGGTGTCACTAGCGCTCACCAATCAGAAGTCCTCAGCCAGAGCCGGCAGGGGAAGAGCGCTCTCCTGTCCCTGCAGAGGAAGAGTGGCCGCCCGCGGCCCCGCACTCAGGCCCTGTCCTGGCTGCGCCCTGCCCAGGGCGGGCCGGCCGGTTCCCCGAGGCTGTTCTTCGGCTCCCGCGCTCCTCAGTCACGGTTGCTTGGCTCTGGTACCAAATAGTCGGATTCCCGAAGAAGCCCTGCCCCGAGGGTCAGCCCAGGTGCCGGGATGCCGCCCGCCTCCCCGTCAAGTGCCCTCTGCCGAGCCCGTCCCTGGTGGTGACTGCGGCGGGAGCTCCGAGGTGCCTTCCTGGACCCTCCTCACTGGGACCCGAGCGAGGCGACAGCCCTGGTGGCTCTCGGGCTCCAGAGGGTCTGCGCTGGTTTGGGTGCTTTAAGTAGATGTGTAGTCAGTGGTGCTCATGGGGCGAGGGTGGGGGGGCCCGGAGCTGGCCGCAGCCTTTGTGTTTGCTTCTTCTGTTGTCACCACTTGTCATCGTCTCGATGTTAAAATGCCAAAAATGATCGAGTTGTCGTTGACCTTCTTCCTGTCCTCCTACCCCAGTCGCTCCAGAAGTGACTTCTGCTCTTGTTGGGCATGTAAAATGTCTGTCCCAGCCCGTCCTGTGGCCTCGTGGGACATAAGCTTGTGTCGAAGACACGGGTCTGAGTTCACGCTCGTCCCTGCTGATCTGTGCTGGCCTGAGGTCCAGGGGACGGGCTCTGCTGACTGGCCTGATGTGTCCAAGTCACCCCCAGACGCCTTCCACTTGAGCCCTCTGTGCGTGGACCTAATCATTTCCCTGGACAGGTCTCTTTCCTGGTGTGTGGCTTGGGCATCTGTGCTCCTTGTACCCTGGAGGTCTTCCCCGAGTTGTGTGGTCACCAAGAGGGACAAGGACACAGTAGGCTGGGCGCTGCCCTGTGCTGAGCTGGGCTCAGATCTTCAGGAACAAATCTAAAATCAGCAGCCCACCACCCTGTCCAGGGCCCTTGCTGGGAGCCGGGCAGGAAAGGGGCCTTGCCAGGGAGGATGGTCCTGTGCCCTCTTGCACCCCTTCTCCTGATGTAGAATTGTCACATGAATTTCCTGGAGGGGATACCCCTTAGGCAGGAGTTGGGGGCATCCTGCATGTCCAGAAGAGGGTGTAGAGTGGCCTGGGTGGGGACGCGCTTTGTGCTCCGTGGTCCTGAGAGCTTCCAGCGTCTCCTGTCGGGAAGGAGGGCCCTGGAGGAGGCGTAGGTGGAGGGCCCAGAGGACCGTGTGGTTTGGTCGAAGGTGCCTGGTTTAGTGCTGTAACTGTCTTATTTTTTTTTATATATATATTTCTTGGAGTAAGCATTTTAAATAAACGGCGTCGTGTTGACTCCGCCTTGGTGTTGGCATTTCTTTTTCAGGCAGAGGTGCCGCTCGGGGCCCCCCCTCAGCTCCTGTGTGCAGAACCCACCAGAGGCCGGGTCGGGAGGGGATGGAACCCTCCCTCGGGAGGGGATGGGACGGGACGGTCCCTTGGGAGAGGTGGTTTATCTTGCTGGGATTGGATACGTGCTGCAGGGCCTGTGGCTGGCGCGTCCCTGGCACCTGGAGATGCGCAGACGGCCGCAGCTTGGTCTGTCGCGCCTTCACTGCGGGCACAGTTCTCGCAGTGGCAGAGTCCCTACTGTGACGTGGACTTTCCAGCCATCTTGCCCAGCTGTCGGGTGACAAAAGTGTCTGGGCCAGGTGGAGGGGCAGGCTGGGCGTGCGAGGTGGGCTAATGGGCAGGTGTGGGAGTGCCAGGGGCTCGTCAGGGACATGGCCTCTACTGGATGCCAAGGAGCAGGTGTGTTCACCTCCCAGACTCCTCCCTGCAGCGACAGTGGCCATTGCCCCCGGGGGGGACCCAGGGCCAGGCCTGTGTTCCTCACCTCTGCCCTTCCCAGCTGCTCGGGGCCACGTGGGAAGGGACGCAGGCCACCCCTCGGCCGCGCTGGAACCAGTGAGCAGGGGCACCGTGATGCCTCCTGTGACCCACACCAGGAGTCCCGAGGTCCGGCCGTCCCCTTCCCCCTTTCATAGAGGAAGGGGAGCTACGGAGACTGCGCAGCCTCGGCCACCCTGGGGACCCTGGCAGCAGGCCCAGGGACTTCCCTCCCCACCAGGGAGGCTGGCCCAGCTGACGTTGAGGGTGGAGGACAGGTCCTGGGGCTCCGGGCCACAGAGCTGGTGTCTTGCCACCCGCCAGGCCGGCAGCCTCACCCGTGCCCTTGCCGCTCCTTAGGGCCCTGGGGGGGACATGCAGTTGGGGGGACTTCCTGGCCCTGTCCAGTACTGCCCTTGGCCTGGGGCCTGAGTACATGGGGAGGGTGGGGACCAAAGAGGGTCACTCAGGACCTTTGTCACTATAGAGTGACAGTGCTAGACCAACCTCAGGAGCTGCCTCACGCGTTCACTTGGCGTTGAGCCCAGGGGCTGGGGTGGGGGTAACAGTCCCACAGCACTGGGGACGGGACCCAGGGCCTCAGGCATGCCAGGCAGCTGCACCCCAGTTTCTCTTTAAATGTTTTAAAGGCAAAATGGAGGGCCAGGTGGGGCTCCGCGGTACAGCGCTTGCGCAGTGCTTGCCCAGCGTGCTCGAGGCCCTGGGTTCCGCCCCCAGCCCTGCAGCAACAACAAAGTGGGGGTGCTGTGGAGTCCCCAAGAGGGACAGCTTGGGACACAAAAACTAGAAGATGCCTGTCTTGGGGGGATGTGTGCTGGAGTTTTGGGACCTCCATCCCTCACCCTGCAGGGCCCAGGGACCTCCATCAGCACGCGCTGGTGGACAGCGTGGCCCCAAGCCAGAGACGGGGCCCAGGGAGACAGGAGTGCAGCTGGCGCTGGGGAGGTCTTCCTGCTCCCAGTTCGCAGCGAGGGACGTCTGCACCAGGCTTCGCCCTTGGGCTTCTACAGGTGACCAGTCCTCACAAGAGTCCTGGGACAGCTGCTGCCCTGGCCCCTCACACGAGCGGAATGGCCTGCGCTTGGCCTGCCTGCCCTCGCCTGGACAGCCGAGGGCCTCTTCCCTGGGACAGAAGTGGAGGCCTGGCACCAGGCTGCTGAGGCTCGGCAGGTGGGACTCTGGAGGCGAGGACTGGGCCGGAGCCTGGTGGGGCCCATCACCCCGAGGCCTGCGCCCTGTGGGCCAGGCTGAGGAGCCGGGAATCTGGACTTTGGGTTAATGGTTGGTGCCTAGGTTAGAGCTTGAGTGTCACCCAGGCCCCAGGAGGTCAGCCCTTTCCTCGTGGGCAGGGACCCTGGGGCCATGGTGTCTGGGACCTGGGAGCAGTGGGTGAGAAGGGTCAGGCCTGCTGGGGCCTCCCAGGGGACTCTTGCCCGGGCAGGAGTGGGCTCAGGGCTGGCCTCAGAAGGATCTCGTCAGGTCCTGGGGACACACACTCTGCACTCGGTGGACCTCCGTGGAAGTGAGTGGCAGGTTCCTCAGGGAAAGAGCCTCACAGGGGTGTCCTCTTCCGCTCCGGCCCCTGGGCTCCGCTCTCCCCAGATGGACCCAGAGTCCTTCACTTCGACTTTTCCAGACCACCCGGAGCTGTAGATTTGCCCCCCTGCATCCATAACCCCTATTGCTGATCTCTTCCTAGTCCTCCGCGTCACAGCCCCAGCCCAGTGTGGGGGCCACAGCCATGAATAAAAGTTCTTGGTAGACCATAAGCCCCGGTATCCGCCACAGGGCCAAGGCCAGACGGCAGCACCCCGCCCGTCCTCTACTGCCTCCGCCCACACTGCCCCTCAGGCTTCAGACCTCAGATGCTATGAGCATTGTGGCAAGCCAAGCCATCCCTGTCACACGCTGATGCAGGTGGCAGCTGTCCCTCACCCAGGGTTGCACATGCCCACTCACATGAGCCCCATGGAGCTGTATTTCTGTTGCACAGGCTGGGCACTGAGCCAGCGGGTGGCTGGCCCTCCGTGGGCGTTGATGCCCAAGGGAACTCTGCGGGGGCTTCTGCAGAGACGGCTGCTGTGCAGGGGGGACAGCCCAGGACCTGGGCCCGCTCCTATCACCCCAGCAGATGGCAAGTAAGGGACCTGCCCACGGCCCCAGGGTCTAAGATCAGGGCTGGTTCTAGGCCCAGCCCTGCCTCTTGCTCAGCAGGACACGGTCCAGGTGGCTGCTTTCTAGGGACTGCCGAGGCTGTCCTGGAGAAGCCACGGGAGGGGCAGGGTGGGAGCCAGTGGTTCGTCCTTCTCAGCAAGTCCCTTGCTTTGACAGTGGGCACTGCAGGCTTAGTGAGCGATTCCAGCCCTGCCCAGGTGTACTGTGTCCCCCGTGTACAGGCCAAACCTACAGACCAAGGAGACTAGAGAGTCCAACTGCCCAGCGGGCAGTGCCACTACCCAGGGGACCCTCTCCTTCCTCCAGCCACTACCCGGGGGACCCTCTCCTTCCTCCAGCCTGGAATCTGGACCCAACGTGGTGGGGGGCAGGGGCTGGGAGGGGGGGAAACAGCCCAGCCTCTTCCCAAAGATTAGAGAGCAGCAGGGCTTGGCCTTGGCCACATCCTGCCCCCCAGGAGTGGGCCTGGGGGGGGGCCTCCCCAGGGGCCTCCCCGCCCCCCACCTGCCTTCCCCACAGCATGTGGGCCGCCAGTGCACTCAACAGCTAGGGCTTTATTGGCGCGGTCAACACTTGGCTGGAGGTGGTTTTCCACCTTCCTCTCCAAGGGGTTTTGGGCTGGTGGCATTTGCCACCCTACTGGGTCTGAGGGACAAGGGGAAGGGGCAGCCCCACGCTGGGCCAGGCCTGGGGCTAAGGCACCATCTTCCACCACTTGAAGTCAAAAGGCACCCGGAGGACGTTGGCACATGGGCAGAAGTCCCCGACCTCGGTGAGGTAGCAGTCGAAGTCGTCGATGAAGGTGCACGTGAGGCCCAGGGGCTCCAGCAGCAGGCGCACCTTCTCTTGCAGGCAGCAGATGCCCTTGATTTGGGGCCCAAAGGGCTTGGGGATCCCCAGGTTCATGTCCATCACGATCATGCACAGCTGTTGGAAAGACGGTCAGCAGGGTGAGCGCCTTGGAGGAGGGCCCCGCCCCGGGCCCGCAGCACACGGGGCAGGGATGGGGCAGCCGTCAGCGGCTGCGCTAGAGCAGGCTGGCAGGACCACGCCCTCCTCTCGGGCCTTCACCTGTCAACCTCAGGGACATCCCCCTTTCCACTTGGGCTTCCAGGGGCCCCGCTGTGTTTCTCAGTAGCAAGACCCGAGTTCTGCCTGGCCAGCATCAGCCCGGCCAGCTCCCCGCTCTGTGCCCGGTTCCTGCTGCCCCTGCTAGAACTCTGCCCACGTCCAGCCTGCCTGTCCACATCTGTCCACCTGTCCCACCTCAGCCCGCTCCTAGGGTTACATCAGACCCTGTTTCAGACACGACCAAGTGTGGGGTCTGCTGGATGGAGCAGGAGCCTCCCGTGACCGTCCCCACCCTGCCCCGCCGCATTGCAGTCCGACTCCAGGTGGCTGCTGCTCTGGACCCTGGGGAAGGAGGACAGGAAGACCCTACCCTAGCGCATCTTGCCCGAGGGCCGACTGCCAAGGGACCTTCTAGGGTTTGTCACTTCAGGTTGGGGAGGAAGAAGCTGAGGCCCAGGCAGCTCGCAGCCCAGAGTGTGACTCCTCACACGTGCCACGGCCTTTAGGCCCAGTCATCGTCCTGGGACCGGGTTTCTGCTGGGCGAGAAGGGCCCCATCCCGCCTCATGGACACCCTTGTCCGCTGTGCCCCGACCCTGCAGCCCTGCAGCCCAGCACCGGGTCTGGTAAGGCACCACAGCACGGGCCAGACAGGCCCTCCGCGACAGGAGGCCCAGGTGCCCCGTGGCCCTCACCATGTTGGGGAAGTAGGCCCTCGCAAGGAGTTTCGGGGTCTGCTGCTCAGACGGGATGTTTGTCAGCCGCTCCAGGCAGAAGAGCTGGGGCACGTCGATGATATCCTTCTCCCCCAGGCCCAGCTCCCTCTTCAGGATGGCTCTGTTCAGGTCGATGCACCTCTGGGGGGAGGGGGAGGCGTGAGCACCCCAGGACCCGGATGCCCACCTCCTCCTGTGCCAGAGCCGGAGCACGGCCTGAGGCACTGCCATCTTCTGATCAAGGAGGGGCAGGGCTCAGGAAAGGCCTGGGCTCCAGAGGCCAGGCTTGCAGACAGTCAGAGCTGGGACAGCTACTTGTGCACCACTGTCACGGCACCCTGGTCACTCGGCCCTGCCCAGAGGGGGGGACTTGGGCAATGCAGAGGGCAAGCAGGGGGACCCCAGGAGCTCTGCTCTTCCCGCTTCAGGGAGGGCCCTGAGCAGCCGTCCCCACCTGGGCACTTCCCTGCTTCAACCAGCTGAAGCCTG